GATAATTTCAGAACCAGAATAGCAGATATTTTAAAACAAGGAGGGAGGGTCCTGGTGTCCCTTTATTGATGTGGAGGATGCAACCCTATCCCAGAACAAGCAAGCACATCACAGGCTCTCCTAATCAAGATCTAGCCTCAACACTCTTTCTGCTAGCCCTCCCCATAGAAATGCATGAGCCATCCAGATGTACACAGCTTGGCCTGTGCCTCGCTGCTTCAATAATTTCCATTAAAGTAATTGTTGCTTAATGGGGCAATAATCAGTTGCTCAAAGGAAAGTGCACTTTCTTGCTTTCAAGCCATGACAGTGACATCAGCTTCTTCACCAGCAGGCCTAGGGGGTCTTCCAATTTAAGAAACAGCTGAAGATGATTTCCACTCCAATTAGAGAGGCTGGGAAATGTAGGAGGAGGGAGCAACTCACTGAGCAATGTCCCATTATGAAGAACAAATGGGAAAACCAACCATGGTAGTGGAGAGGCATTGCTGGAAATGTTTATCTTCTGTGTTTCATCTACTGCTTTAGTGGCAGAATGCTGTGTTGAAACAAGGTTGGTTCAGAGAAGATATTGGGTTTGCCAGGTCACATTGTGTTGGGACTGTGAAAGAGCCAGACGTGTCAGTATTGTTTTCCTCTGCAGCATTTTTGGTATATTTGGGTTGGTTATTACTTTGAAAGCCCTACATGGTTTGGGTCTGGATTACCTGTAAGATATGGGTTCTGTCATTAGGATCACTGAATGTAATCACTAAATGGGAGCTTCCATTGCAAAACACATTCCAGATGGGATGATGGGAAACTCAACCCCCTTTATTGAAGCTATTACTGAAGCACTGGCCAGCTGAGTGGATGAGCTCCCTCTATCAGCTCAAGCTCCCCGTGCAGGAACATGAGAGAAGCCTCCCACTAGGATGGTAAAACATCAAAACATCCTGGCATCCCCTAGGCAATGTCCTGGTAGATGGCCAATTGTCTCACACCAGAAACGACTTGCAGATTCTCAAGTCGCTCCTACCATGACCAAAACAAAAAACAAAAAACTGGCCAGGTGTATTTTTCCCATGTAGAAAGAAAAGGACTATCCCTCTGCTTAGTATGGAAAAATAAAAATTAGTTGGGAAGAGGGAAGAACCTGATGACATTAGAGGAAAAGAGCTGAACCTGAGATGAAACTCCACCCCTGGTAATATGCCAGATTTTTTTTTCATGTCAGGAGGAACTTGAGAAAATGCAAGTCGCTTCTGGTGTGAGAAAAGTGGCCGCCTGCAAGAACAATGCCCACGGGACACCCAGATGATTTGATGTTTTACCATCCTTATGGGAGGCCTCTCTCATGTCCCCGCATGGAGAGCTGGAGCTGACAGAGGGAGCTCATCCACCCTCTCCCTAGATTTGAAACTCTGACCTGTCAGTCTTCAGTCCTGCTGGCACAGGGGTTTAACCCAATGTGCCACCGGGGGCTCCTGGCCCGTGCTTCAATAATAGCTTCAATAAAGGGGATTGAGTTTTCCATCATCCCATCTGGAATGAGTTTTGCAATGGAAGCTCCCACTTAGTCATTACATCCAGTGATCCCAATGATGGAACCCATATCTTGCTGGTAATCTGGACCCAGTGCTGGTAATCTGGACCCTTGCTGGTAATCTGGACCCAGTCCAGGTCAGTGCATGGGGAGCTTGAGCTGACAGAGGGAGCTCATCTGCGCTCTCTCCAATTAGCACTGAATGGCATTGCAACTTCTAAGCCTGGCTGCTTCCTGCCTGGAGGAATCCTTTGTTAAGAGGTGTTAGCTGGTCCTGATTGTTTCTTGTCAGGCTTTGCAGCTGCAGGGCTGTTCAATGCTAATCAAGGTGGACAACTGCAACATTCACACTGACCTCAAACAGACAAGAGTTCTTTCTCTCACTCTGGACATTTCACAGATTTATAAACTTGCCAAGTTTCCAACAAACCTTACAACCACTGAGGATGGCTGCCATAGATGTTGGCAAAACATCAGGAGAGAATGCTTTGGGAACATGGCCATACAGCCCAGAAAACTCACAGCAACCCAATGATTTCAGTCATGAAAGCCTTCGACATTTTAATATTTGTATATTTAAATTGTATTGTAATGCTTTTAATGTTAGCCATTTTGAGTTGTCTTATGGAGAGAAAAAGCAGAATATTAATAATAATAATAATAATAATAATAATAATAATAATATATGTGCACTTATTCGGTTTACTTTTGTGGTTATGTTTTTTATTTGTAGTATATACTTAACTGCAGTATTGTAGTAATTAGGATGCAGATAGTCTCTCTCTCTCTCTCTCTCTCTCTATATATATATATATATATATATTATCATTGTTGTATCATTTTTTCATTAAAATTACTTAAAAATGTAAATAACCAATGAGCATCACTTGATCACTCATTGTGGGCTTGTTATGCTTCTCAGCCTACAATAAGATAGGGCAAAGGGGATTTCAATTTACTGAGAACAGCAAAATAATAATAAGAAAAAACCTGAGGTCAGCTTTGCCTGTTGGCCCTGCTCTTAATGTGCCCTGGACTAGTCTGATTATCATGTGTCACGCATTTGCGAAGCCCGCTGTCCTACTTCATCTCATGGCAACCTGCAATAAATCAACAGTATTTGCGATGCAGCGTCTTATCTCGGCAAGCAAGTACACCTTCAACCCTACCTACCGAAATCCTGTTACCTGCAATGCAACAACCTGAATCACCAAATTTGAAATGAATGAGCCTTGTAATGCCTCAGGGGTAATATTTTAGTAGCTGAAAAGTTTGACATTACATACATTTGGAATATCTAATCCAGCAGCAATGTGTGCAGCATAAGAATCAGTACCCGCACTCCTCTGGGAAAGGCAGCTTTTAATTCATCTTTTAAAAAATAATAATGTTTCTTCCTCTTGCTGATGTTCAGGCTGGGAGGGCCATTAGTTATGTAGACAAAAATCGGACACGCACAAAACTGGAGAGGAAAATCAACCTGTTGGAAGAACTCAGTGTTTGCAAAACTATGAAACCTTCAGGGATAGAATGCCTGATCTGTGAAGAAACCCCATAATAGCCCAATGATAACTCACTGATTGTAGTAAGATCTAAATGCCTGACTGAAGGGTGTGTGTGTAAGTGTGAAGAAGCAGAAAAGGAATGAAATGACTGCAATCCTGCAATATTTTACACTGCAGTGTTTTGTTTACATGATCCCCTTGCATGACGGAATGCACTACATATTAACCTGTAGATTGCTTTGTGATTTTTTTTTTACAAATTTGAGAGCAAATATCAAGGTGCTCACATTAGTAGATAAAGGTTTTCCCCTGAAATTAAGTCCAGTTGTGTCCAACTCTGACAGTTGGTGCTCATCTCCATTTCTAAGCTGAAGAGCTGGCATTGTCCGTAGACACCTCCTAGATCATGTGGCCAGCATGACTGCATGGAGTGCCGCTACCTTCCTGTCATAGTGGTACTTATTGATCTACTCCATTTGCATGTTTTCGAACTGCTAGGTTGGCAGAAGGTGGAGCTAACAGCTGGAGCTCATGCTGCACCCCGGATTCGAACCCGTGACCTTTAGATTCGCAAGTTCAGCAGCTCAGTGCTTTAACCCACTGCACCACCAGGAGCTCTTGTGCTTCACTCTTACCCTCCAATATTTCATTCACTTTTGCAGTGATAGCTAGGGATGTCCGTTTGTTGTTCATTCATTCAGTCGTCTCCGACTCTTCGTGACCTCATGGACCAGCCCACGCCAGAGCTCCCTGTCGGCCGTCACCACCCCCAGCTGCTTCAAGGTCAGTCCAGTCACTTCAAGGATGCCATCCATCCATCTTGCCCTTGGTCGGCCCCTCTTCCTTTTGCCTTCCACTTTCCCCAGCATAATTGTCTTCTCTAGGCTTTGCTGTCTCCTCATGATGTGGCCAAAGTACTTCAACTTTGTCTCTAGTATCCTTCCCTCCAATGAGCAGTCGGGCTTTATTTCCTGGAGGATGGACTGGTTGGATCTTCTCGCAGTCCAAGGCACTCTCAGCACTTTCCTCCAACACCACAGTTCAAAAGCATCGATCTTCCTTCGCTCAGCCTTCCCTAAGGTCCAGGTCTCACATCCGTAGGTTACTACAGGGAATACCATGGCTTTGACTAACTATGTCCAACTAGCTCCAAATGTCCAGTTGGCCCTCTATATTTGCTAGGGTTAAGGACACAGGACTCCTGTGAAACTTGGAAAAACACAAATAAAAAACCCACTACTTTTTTTTACCTGAAATAACACCTATAGCAATCTTGAGATCCTCTGGGGTGAAAGTTGACCCCTAGGAATGACCTGGAGGACCTAGAGATTCCTAGAAAAAACATTTTAATCAAATCCATGAGCAATCAAATCCACAAGCTGAACCCACAAATGTGAAGTTATTCAGATTTGGGTTGGATCGGGTCCAAACAAAATGATGGCCAATTACTGAACTGTTCCCCAAACAGAATTGCAGTATGGGTAGAAGCTTGCATTATTCTAGTTAAAACCACCCCATGTTGCTGAAGGCATCTTGGCGGGTACCACACTACAGAGTTATAGCAGTTGAGATAACACTATAAGATGTATGCTGTCGCTCTACAGAGCCTTATATATAGTTTTCTGAGGTACTTATAATTCTGAGAACTGTAGCTCGGTAGAATTCTCTTCTCTGTTTGCTTTATTATTGCCAAGAAAAACACAGGATTGGTACAATGTGTTATTTGCGTATTGGGTTATTATGGTTTAATATGTTTAACAGTTTCAAATGGTATTTATTTATATGCTTATTGTTTCTAGTGATTTTATGTTATGTTTTATATAGTTTGTATAACGAGGCATTGAATTTTTGCCTGGATGTATGATGCATGCCTCTCTGAGTCCCCTGAGGGGTGAGAAGAGTGGGATAGAAATAATAATAATAATAATAATAATAATAATAATAATAATAATAAT